GATATGGAGTTTGATCAACACCTGTCATACACAAACGAAGAGGGCTATGCCACGACTGATATGGAGTTTGATCAACACCTGCCATACGCAAATGAAGAGGGCTATACCACGACTGACTGATATGGAGTCTGATCAATGTCCACTCCACGTAGGAGCGTGAAAATATGATGCAGTTTCGCAAGATCACTGGGTTTATTGTCCATGGTTTATGATGCAGCTTTTTGCATGGGGGCTGGCTTTCTTGCAATGCAAAGAATGAAACCCACCTTGCCCGTCCCGTTCGCAGCTGATGGAGCCAAGCAGTGATAGGAGGAACCCATGGTTTCCGCAAGTCCCTAGTAACTAGTGCTTTGGATTATTCTGATAAAAGTGGTTTGTGTGGTGCCTCAGTTGGGCGCATGGCTTTACCCTCCTTCCTATGTTGTGATATATAAGCGTCAAGGCCCCTACAAAAAATCATTCATTGATTCAACCATTCATTCATTCATTCAATCATTCATTGAATTTTCATTCCTTTCATTCCTTCCTTTCATTCATTCATTCATTCAATCATTCAATCATTCAATCATTCAATCATTCAGTCATTCAGTCATTCAGTCATTCATTCATTCATTCTTCATTTCCCTTCATTTCGTTTGATTGTTTCATCCATTCATTCATTCATTCATTCACTCATTCATTGCGTCATTCATGCATTCCTTCATTCATTCATTCATGCATTCATTTAATTATTCATTAACTCATTCATTGATTCAACCATTCATCCAATCATTCATTGCATTCATTCATTCATTCATGCATGCATGCATGCATTCATTCATTCATTCAGTCAGTCATTCATTCATTAATTCTTTCATTTCATTTCATTAAATTTCTTTTCTTTTCATTTCACTCATTCATACACATTCATGCAACCGTGCATACATGCATACATGAGTGCATCGATACACGGAGGCAATGAAACATACACAGATACATACATACACAAATGTGTGCGTGCGTACGTACGTACATACAAACATACTGTTTATCCCTGCATGTTTGCACACACGCAGTTTTGCGTTTATAAAACATGTCTACGCGAACATTAAGACATGCAGCTAAAACATGTTTGACATGATGACATTTGGGTTCCTCACATAATAACTTAGCTTCATTACCTAGCTTCATTACATAGATAATCAAATATACAAACTGACAGACACACCTACATAGTTACATACATACTCATACACGCATACGTACACACATACCAATGACAAACATACATACACAATCATATAAAACATACAGCAATAATACAAAATCATTCATACGCAGTTGTACATAATACACAATCATGCATACGTACTGGTTCAACCACAGCCATACATATACAATCATGCATACACAACCATAAATACACAACCGTACATACATACAGACAGACAGACAGACAGACACCAGATCCCAAAGCAGATCCCAAAGCAAAACCTACATGTCTCTTCAGCCACGAGTGGCCCTTGATTGAACCAGGTATTTTGTTTGTTCGTGTTCGTAAGTATTTGTAGTGTGTTTTTGTCTCGGCCTGTGATTGTGTTGCCTTTCAGGCTGCACCTTCAATTATTGATCCCCCCAATTCATATCAGTATGATAGTTGTTACACCCATTAAACAATCGCCTTTTTCCAGACTGTTTTTTATGTTCAAGTTGCGCTCCTTGCGCAATGGCCTGCTGCTTTTACCTGGAAGCGGCTGAAGAAACAAATCGGCTGGGTAACGCAGCTTGTCGAAATATTCCCTTGTCGTGACTGCTAGCGCTTTTTGTGTGTGGGTGGTGTGTTGTGTGGTTGGCCTTCTGCAAAATTGAATCTTTTGGCTAACCCCGACCTCCTCATTTTTCAGGTATGGTGTGCGGCGCTTGTTCCGATGGCGCAGCTGGGGCGGCGGCCAGCAAAATTGTTGGCCCTCTGAGGCCATGTGCATGATCAATTGAAAGATTTGTACTATTCTAGTACTGTCGGCCTGAAGAAGTTCAGTCATTGGACGACAGAGCATCTCTATACCAATGGAACTGGAATCATGTTTTTAGTTTGCACCGGCTTGGCGAATGTCAGGTGTGAATTTGCAAGCTGCTGTGTCCAAGCAAGTCTACTTCAGGCGCATGCTTTTTTCGCAAGCTTTGTGGGAACTTGTACAGTGGTAGCGGCCTTCTAACAAAAGCAAGTGTCCACATAGTAGCACGCGCGGGGCCAATCAGAGTTTTAATGTTTTGAACATCCTTGGAAGTGTGCAGTGCTTGAGTCGGCACGTTCCTGCAGGCGATATGCGTTTCTCCTTCGAAGGGCGCAGTTCTTGCTGCAGCCTGTGCCATCTTCAGCTGCTTCAGCTTCGGTACTAACGGCCTAACAGCTTCAGCTTCTGGGAAAATGGTTTCCTGGGTTGCATGCGTTTCCTGGGTTGCACGCGTCACTAAGTGATTGATGAAACGCAATTGTGAATGTCGTGTTTTTTTCTGTAGAGCTGGACCGGTTCAAGAAAGTTACATCTGCAGCGCCCCAAGCCCGAAGACCCTGCCTGTGAGACATGGCCTCCAAACAGGTGAAGAAGGTCCAGGTTAAGTATGTTAACAAGCGAGGGCTTGCCCAGAGTTTGAAGTCCCGCTCCGGTTGGAAGAAGTGGAGGGGTGAGACTGGCGCCGAAAAGTTGGCAGCTTTCGTAGAGTACCGTCAAGGCATCGTGGACCAAAAGCCTGACAAGGACTTTGTTCACCTCCACGTTGTGTCAACGGTGACGTACAAATGGTCACTAGGAATGAAGCCACTGCAGCTTAATTTCGGAAGAGGCGGGACGCGTGATGTTTGCTGGTTCTCCAGACTCCAGGTTGAGTTTAATGCACTTTTGGGTGCAGTGGTTGGGGCGGAGCTTAACATTTTTTGCTTGAACGCGTTATGGTATCACGGTGCATCATACTGAGAGTTGCCTGCCCAGGAGCCACAGACCCAAACCAATGCGTCTTGGCTCTCGACTTCGCTGACGCAGTGGTTTCTGTGGATTTGGAGCCCATCCCTGAGGTTGAGACTGAGGTTAAGGTGACAGCGAGCACTTTGGGCGGAAGTGAGGTTGTGTCCGGCTTTCCAGTGCCTCTAAACCGACCGATCGCTTCCCTTCGAGCTACCCTGATATCCAAGTTGAACGCATCTCCTGCGCACATGTGGACACATGTGCCCTTGGTTGTGAATTTTACACGGTTTTGGAGAGGATTTTTTAAAGCTCTTTTCACTGCTTCCTTAAATTTGATTTGCGGTCGCTAGAAGGCGGTGGATGGATGGATGGGTGGACGGACGGACGGACGGATGGATGGATGACTTTGGGGAAGTAAACTCAAAGCAAACGACAGGTGTAGATGCGTGAATGGGTAGATTGATAGCTACTGTCCGAGTTCCGTGTAGTAAGACCATTCCCAGACCAACTATTGCCGAATCCTGAGAACCACTTGCCCACGAGTAGCTGGGCAGAAGTGGAGTGTAATGACATCAGAAGCGTTCACCGCATGGCCAGTTTCTTGTATGACCATATGCAAGTGAACATAGCATTAGACTCGATCTCCCCCAAAATGTTTTTTGACATTGAAAGAGGTGTCGGGGCATCGATTCCCACGTGTCCACCAGTCCACGCTTCCATCTCCCAATATTTCAAACAGCCAACCAATCCACCAATCAACCTGCAACCAACCAATCAACTGATCAATGAACCACATCACTGCTACCTAATAGTAGAACTAACAGTATATCTATTTTATTCACCTATCGGTCCATCATCGACACATCCATTCATCAAACGTTCAACCTGTCCATCCATCCATGACTGAATGAGTTTTGAAGGGGTAGATGGGGACCAGGCAGGATTGAATCTGAACAAAACTTAGACAAACGGACAGACGTAAAGCAAATATAAAGCAATATAACAGATCACTTGGGGTAGGTAGGCGCTAGAAGAGTACAGACACAGGGAGATGTCCAATAGTTTAAAGTGTGCTGTCATCGCAGTATGACTGTCACCCTCCATCCGTTGACATGCAATGTGTGTTGCAATCTGGGATCCTATCTGTGGTTTATTGTTTGTTGTTGTTTTTGTTTATCTTGTCTGTTTGCGTTATCGCATTCAGATCTTGTCTGTTGTTGACCCAACCTTTTTGTGAAACATGTCAGGGTCAACTTTGGGGGAAGGGAAACATGAGATAGACACAGAGGTAAATTAATCCAGATGCATAGACGGCTAGATAAATATGAGCTATGAGTTCGACTGGACGCTGACAGGCTGAGTGCGAGGCCGCCAAGTTTGCTTGCAAGCATGTGATCTTGAAGGACAACATGACAAAGAGGCCAGTCTCGACCTTGATGAACTGAGTCGATGCTAATTGTTTCGTTCTTGGATGCTACAAATTTTGTCCCAGTGAGCGCCTGACAAGAATGAGGCGATTTTCCGTCCCCTGGTTGTGACATCTAGCAGCAGCGCCGAAAACTCCGATGTTTTTTGTCCTAGTTGCACAGCAAGTTCACATGCCATGCCTGCGCATTTCGTGGAGGGTTGGAACCGGTTCCTTCTAGTTGCAGCGCGTTAACGCGTGGCAGTTTCAAGACGGGTAATTGTTTCCATTGGCCACAGCAAACATTGTACTTTCAATTGCCTGGTGGCCTAGTGTTTGTTGGTTCAAGTTGTGGCCTGGATGTAAGACAGGCAGGCGTGACATGTCAGGCAATGAATAATCCAGAACCAAGAAGTAAACGAGGTTCAGGACATTTGTTGATATCAAGTTGAACTTGATAACACCTTTTTTTGTCCATGCGTCCGTGGGCATGGAAGACCTGGTTGCCTTGTCAGATGATGAGGATTGTCCACCCCCTTTGGGGCATCAGCTGGTAGCGCTGTCCGATGATGAGGCTGCGAATGCTGAGCCAGTGCCTGCTTGCCCCGTTAGACTGAAAAAGCGGACTAGGGCAGAGGAGAACCGTTGCTTTGAAGAGGCCTCTAAGCGCTTGCACGAAATTGTCAAGTGCAAGTGTAGGCGCAAAGCTTCGTGTAGGGAGCCGTTCAAGCAGGTTGAACATTTTGAAGAATGTTTGAAAGAGCGAATGCGGTTGTCCAAGATGCGCAAGCCCGATGCTGATGAGGAGGCGCCGGCGGGCCGGTAGTATTTGTGATTTGAACTGCAGTTGGAGTTCAGTAGGTCATTGTTGTTTCTGAAGTCACTGGGTTTGAAGAAACGATGAACTTACTGTCATTGCAGCAAATGCAACATGTTAGATGTTAATTTCTTGGAAACACAACAACTTGTATATACCAATGGGCGAGTATATTGTGAATGAAAACGAGCTATCTATATGAAGTAGTAGTATCTATATAAATCTTTCAAGACAAAGCTTGGCTGTCTGCAGATCTACAAGATGCTAGAGTCCCAGAAGGAAATGGAAAAGAATGTTTTGACACTGTGCGGGCACCGAGTGTGCCAACGCAGTTTTAGACTCTTGCTGGGCATCGGCAAGAGCCGAGTGCGTAAGCTGCGGAATGCGATCATCCACGGTCATGAGTGTCCATTGGACGCGCGCTACATACCCAAGAAGCACGAGACCCTTTGTTTGCACATGGTTCAACTTGTCAATCAATGCGCGGTAAACCCTTAGAGAACCACCCTTAGATTGTTTTGGGTCGACGCCCAGGATTGATCCATCGGCAGCACGTGGACGGGTTGTCGAGTACCTCACCCATTTATACCACAAGGTGGCAGAACCGATGCCCGAGTTGATCAATCCTTCCCAGCTCAAGGTGGGCCAGGTGGGTCATGCCACATATACGGGGGCGAAAGCCCGTGTCAACCCCGTTCGAAAGCGAGGAAAACGACCAAGAAGCTTGGTCAAGCGGGATGATCCCTCGGAAGTTCAAGATGTGTCTGACATGAGAGTTCTTCCACCATCGACTATCCAAGACTACCATGAACTTTGCCGAGCGGAGAACCCAGATGTCACCATTTCCCGGAAGCTCTTCTGCAAAGCCCCTTGACTGCGGCAGGGTGCTTCGCAGTTCGTTGCGTTACTCCTCAGATGTCTTTCATCCTTCTATAACGCTTGGTTGGCCCAGTTCATAGGCAGAGAGAACATACACGTTTCGACCTTACGGGATGAGGTGCACCCAATGCATTGTAGATGCCACTTTCCCATTTTGCCTGGGGCTCCGTTTTGGGGGCGAACGGCGAACTGATCTACAAATATTATATATTGTTGCTGTGCCCCAAAAGTAGGCAAGTACATAGACACCTTCGCCCCCAAAACGGAGCCCTAGGCAAAACGGACAGTAGTTCAACTATAGAAGTTTGTTCTTTAAGTTTGTTCAAGTTTGTTCTTTAACGGACTTTGGTCTTTTTAGGTGTGGGAGGAGAGCTTTCGAAATCGATTGGTCATCAGGGGCAAGCACCAGCACAAGAAGTGCGGAGTCTGCGTGCGATTGAAATTATTGCTACGCCGATTGAAAAAGAGTTATGAGGCAAAGCAGTTGCAACTCCAGGTGTACAAGAACCACCTGGAGAAGCAATACGCAGACAGAACCACGTACTGGGAATCACGTGGGCGTGCCCGCCTTGGAACAAACGCTGATGGAAGCCGCCATTTGACACTAGCACTGGATTCAATGGACCATTCAAAGTTTGCCTACCCTCGTGACATGTCAATGACCAGCAAGGAATTCAGTAATTGGGTGAGGCCAACACTATCAGTGACTGGAATCTTGAATCACGGTCACAGCTGCGGCCTGTATGTATCAGAATGCTTTGTATCAGCGGACTCAAGCTGGTCCTGTGAGGTGGTATCCCACGCTTTGCATACTGCCGCCCAAGACCCCACCATCGACCTCAGGTCTTGTTGCCTGACTGTCATTGGAGACAACAGCTCCAAAGAAGGCAAGAACAACAGCCTGCTCCGGCTGTTGTCGGGGTTGGTTTGCACACGGCGTTTGAAAAACGCCTGCATGATGTTTCTCCAATCAGGACACAGCCATGAAGATTGGGATCAATGGTTCTCAACTTTAGCGACCCACATGGCTTCCGTCGAAAACACACCTCTAGAAACGCCAGATGACATCGTCAAATCCATCCAAGGGTGGTTGGACAGTGGGTCGACGCGACCACATGAAAAGCAACGATGGTGTATGAAGGTTGATGAAGTCAGAGCTTGGCAACTTGAATGGATTATATGTTTTTGTTCAGGGGTTCGATGTTTTTGAAACGGGCAACCTACCAAATTTCCATTTCGATTGGGCTATGAGGAAAGGCCCCCTCAAGTCCTACTGTAATTGAAATATTTTATGTGTTTTGACAATTGGCGAATGACTTGAGGGGTCCTTTCTCATAGCTCAAGTCCAAGTGGAACTTTGGCAGGGCGACCCCTGCTGCACAAAGGGCAATTCAATGCCTGTTGTTCTCTATGTAGGGTATGGGTAGTCTTGCTTGGGAGAGGCTCTCATTGAAACCGACAGACACCCGGTTCTTCAACTTCAGGTTCTCACTTCATGACTTCGGGTTGCGTTGGCACTGCTTCTTTTCCTATGTTGGATTACATGTACCGGAACTCACAGCGATAGCCCGCCGAGGAAAGATCACCTGCAGCAGGTATTTTTGGGCAATCAGCTGATTGGCATTGGGGGGCCAGGTGCTCCCCATGTTTTTCAACTTGACAGAGTTGAAGACCTGCCAGGCCACGTGCTATTGTATGCTATTGTCATCAATTCAGTGTTCTGACGTTCATGGAACTTGACGCAGGCCTGGACCGATCCACGGTGGACGACAAGTTCTGGATCCGGAGAGGGTTGCCATTGTCGAATGGTGACGTTATCTTGAGGTTTCCAGAGCTGTATCAGTCATGGAATGCATTCCCTCCCATTCTCAATACGTGGGTGTTCGTTCTATTACTGCATTCTCTTTTGTTCAGTCATTTCGCTATTTAGTAGTAGTAGAAGCTGTGGGTCAAAAGCGGCGTGTGTAGTTGTAAGTGCCTTAAATAAGTTCAGTGGTATGATTAGTTTTCTGGTTGACCTCGTCCTTCAATTAATAAACCCTTGATCAACATTCAGCGCCTCCCAAAATCACAAGCAGATTTGCCATTGTGCACGCGAGGAAAGGTGGTAGGTCTATCGCCAAACTGAGGTTCAAGCAATACATGTCAGATCGTGATTTCAGACCACATACCATCCTTCATGCACCAGCGAGCCTCTTCAACAATGCTTCTGATTTGGTGCCCAGAGGATTCTTGTCAGCAACCGCCAGATAAGGTCAACTGGAATTGGACAAATCAATGGTCATGATCATTACCGGTTGTTATCAGTTTGAACTGTTCTTTTGCCACCGTATGGCAGTTGGAAAGGGCTGTGGGGATTTTTGTTATTCACCCAACTGACTTGTGCCCTCGCTCATGATGTTAAGCGCCTGCCATCTAAGTTTGCTGCGTGCAAAAGCCCTTCAGAGCAGATGACCCTGCAGTGGATGCTGGCAAGTTGACCACATATATTGCAAAATTGAGTTCCTTGGTGAATGTGTGATTTTTCATTCCACAGGCAGTCAAATTTAAGCCCCAACAAACAAACAAGTTAGTTAAGCGTCAGCCAAATCGTGGATGACTGATCGTGGATGACTTGCCTTTCGCGAGGAGAGGAACCATTCCGGTTGGAGAGGGCAGCGGCACACCTTGAGAAGCTGCGAGACCGTACGTGGATCCCGAAACCACTTCTGCCAGTTGGATCGAGCTTCAGCAGTACTATGAACACCTCATACAATTATGCAGTTGCTTTTTGTTCACTCGCAAATGGGTTCAACCTCAAAGGTTATTGTTCATCTTGAGCCTGAGGATGTTTGGATATGGTCCTGCAGTGGGTCATGGCTTTCTTGCGCCTCCACCGCCAGCTGTTGATCCGAACCCAGTGCCTCATTTGAACTAAACTAGTCTGAAGCCAACCACCCAAGACAGGCCTACAGAGTTACAGGTCTAAAGCCAACCACTCCAGAGTCGTTGTCGCTCGTTTCATACATCCTCAAGACACCTGTCGCGCTGAACGAGACAGCAGAGAGTATGATGTTTTGATTGGCTTCATGTTTGCAACTATTCTTTGTCGATGTTGCCTTGCCTCGCTGCACAGGGCCTGAACCGAATGGGCGTGCAACTGCAAAGGTTAGAGCCTCAAGCTTTGGCTGCTTTCCAGCAGAGGGTGAACGATCGACAGCTTTACCGTGTAGCGGCCCAGCTTTGGGCCAGGGGTATCCTTTGGAATGAAGCGCTCGCTGAAGCTAGGCATGTTTTCTCCTTGGAACCTCTGTGAGAAGACAGACATTTGACAGTGTCTCGTTCAGTCGTAAAGAAAGCGATGAAGAACAGAAGTTCCACTGATGTTCATTTCCGGAAGTTTTGAGATTTGAGTTCATTTCCGGAGATTTGTGCTATGGTCATTCAGGGCCAATTGAGATCTCAAAACCAGAGGCTTAGCTCTCATACGGCGCTTCACCCATGATGGTGCCCAAAAAAAGTCCGCTGTCTCCATGCATCACGAAACCGAAGCCACCGGAACAATGGAATCATCGCAAACTCCATCTCTAACAATAGCGGGAATCAGTGATGAACCTGGTCCACTTCCATCACTGAATCCAGCCTTTGCGGTTTCATTCCAGACGATTGCTCAGTGAGAAGTCGCTGTTTAAGGTTGGAGCCGCGGAGACGTGCATTTGGTGATGAAACTGGTCCACTTCCATCACACGTTCGGTGCTCCACTGGAAGTCCTGTTTGGTCATTGTTTCGTACATAGACGAAGCAATTTTTGCGACATTATCCTGGAGCAAGTTCAACCTAAGCTGTGATGGACCTAGTCCATATCCATCCCAAAATCACATGACAAGTAATTAAACAAAACCCTAAACCCTAAACAATTTAGTATCTAAGTTCGATCAAAAGGTAAACAAACAAACGTTCCACCCTTAACACAGATTGATTTGTGATGGATCTCGTCCATATCCATCACAAATCACACGATCATTTGATAACCCTAAACCCTAAACCCTAAACGGTATGTTATCTAAGTTAAATCAACGTATACACATAAACAATCAACCCTTAACCCAGATTGATTTGTGATGGATCTCGTCCATATCCATCACAAAATCAGATGATAATTTAATAACTTGATTTGTGATGAATATCGGCTTTCTTCCATCACAAAATCACATGATCAGTTAATATGGATAATATATAACTATATAACTCTTAATAGCCCTAACACCCTTAAGCCCTAAACCATGCAAACAAAAAAATACAACCCCCCAAACCCTTTGGTATTATCTAAGGGTTAGAGACAAAACTACACAAATAAACGTTCAACCCTTAACATCATCCTTAAGGCAGATTGATTTGGGATGGATCCCTGGCAGTGCTTGCAAGTTGGATCGACTCTGCAAGACATGTCGCAGATTTGACCTTCAAAGCGTGCAGGGCAGACAGTCAGCAGACATGGCCTCGGCATCGCGCAAGCGCCGACCGAGTGGCGGAGGGAGTGATTCTGCTAAGAAGGCCAAGGGCGATGCTGCTTCTATCGGAGCTATTGGAGGTATTTTTCAATCCAAAGCCACGACGCCGGAAGTCCAAGAGAGCAGGAAGATCTTTGAGAAATGGTTGTCTGACACCCAGTGAGCACATGCCACCGCTCACAATGAATAGACTAGAGTACTGGTGTAAGAAGTGGGCTGGCGTATTCTGTGAGGCAAGATGCAATCTCGACGCACGAAAACATTCACGCCTTTTTCAAGCACACCTTTGAAGATGAGGTGCTGTTTGATTTCATCTGCGGTGCAGGTTGTGTAGTTAGTGAATGCTGCCAGGGCAAGCTCCTGGAATACTTGCGCTTTTGCGACGCTTCTTTTCCAAGCCCTGATGGATTGTCAGAGCCCTATGCAAGTGTTGACCTTGCGGTGTCTATTGTGGGTGGGATTGCTTAGGCACTTTGCGCGTCCAAGCGACATGGAGACTGGGGGCAAGGGTGTGCTCTTGCGCCCTTGGCACATTCCTTTCCACCCCTCTGCAGGGTTGAAAGGATACGTAGAACCCGTCTGGCGCTCATTCTGATTCATTTGTTTTGTTGTCTGTGTGTTTTCGACAAAAGAACATCCAAGGATGTGTTGCAGAACCTCTGCAGCCTCATCATCACAAATGGGTCTTCCTCTCAGTTTCTTTTCAGCGCAGTTTTTTTTAACAGCCTCAATCGTGGTAAGCGAGGTTTGCGACCAACCCTGACGTCGGAGCCACCGAGAAGTTGACAGTCTGCCTTCCAGTCGCAGGAGTCATGCACGACGTTCCCAAGTTCAACACCTCAGAGGTTTGCGCAGATAGTACTTTGGTCAGGCCCCTAGGGTTCATGATGTGCAAGGGATGGTCTCGTTCCCTCGCTTGCCATTGCGTCATGGCTGCATGCTGGCAAAAGGATGAGCTGCTCAAGGCCGGGCAATTGCGTCCCTGGTGCTGGCTTTTCTCTGAAGAACCAAGCCAGGCTCTCCCAGACTATGTCCGTGAGCTGGGCCCTCAATGCATTGCTTACTAGGGCCCTCCCTCATTTACTACTCAATTCAGGTCTTTTGCGGCGATCCATGGAGCTGCAATTGCTTGCGATGGGCTACCATCTTTGGTAGCGACCAGCAGAGGCAGCGCTTGAACTTCTATAGTGGCCCTAGCAACAAATCGTTTACTCGCAGGACTCACTTTAAGCTCCACTTCCACGCGTCGCAGACCCAACTGCTTCAATTTGTACTTCCAGATACGATTGCTTCGCGATCAGGGTTCGAGTTTTGAAGAGGAACTGACTCATGCTGTTTGTGCATTGCTGTTTTTGAAGATTTTGTCAAACCAAAATTGGAGTTCGATGTCATTTCGATTAGAGCAGGAATGGAGCAACGTTGCAAAGATCCAATCCGCCTACGAGTGCGGAGACAGAGAAGCTAAAGCGGCAGCGTGTTTGGCCACAGAGGTGGAGCCAAGCGTCATAGACAAGCTACACAAAATGGTGTTGCATCCTAGCCAATATGGTCCCGTTCATTTGTTTAAAGATTTGCTGGCTAGCACTTGGTTGCAAATCGCAGACTGTCCTCCCACAAAGGCGATTCAGCATGCTGAAGTTCTTGCCGCACGACGCCATTGCCAGCGGCTTTTTCAATCGCTCGTACAACTCGGGGCATGGCGTCTACAGTCCCTGGGAAA